ACATACAAAGCCCTTAATAACAAGGCTCCATCATATCTTAAAGACCTCATAGTACTTCTGGCGCCGACAGCAATGGTGGCCATTGTCACTCGCGCTCTCTTGCGTTTGTTGTTTTTCTTTGATTTCTTGGTCTTTTGCAACTCATCCCGGATTACTTTTACCAGAGAAGAACTGTTAAATATTGGACAACTCACACCAAACTACCTTCCTCTGATTTTTGTGAACGAAGAATGCTGTATGGACATTCTAATCGGAGGTGCAGCAGCAATATACGGGACCTGGAAAAAACGCAGCCATGGAAAGCAGGTAGGCGTCTTGATGCAGTTACGACAGAGGGGAATACGAACCCCACTCCCGTCTATTCACCTGGCAAATCTTCGCTCCCTGGTCAACAAGTTGCTTGAAATTCTTCTCTTCAGCAGGGCTAACTCTGACTTTGCATGCTCTGCTGCTTTGTGCTTCACGGAGACCTGGCTTAGTGACTCGATCGCGGACAGTGCGATTCAAGTACCGGGCTTCCAGGTGTACAGAGCGGACTGTGTAAAGGAGCTGTCCGGAAAAACGAGAGGAGGTGGAATCTGCTTCTACATAAATGAAGGATGGTGCACAGATGTCACAGTGCTACAGAGGACATGTAACGCAGACCCACTGCGTTACACAAGAGACTCATTATCAATTGCAAACCTTTTTAGTTTCCCCGTGAATTTAACAACTTCATTCTAATTGGAGTGTACATAAAACCACAGGCCAACAGTAACGCACTATGGCTCCTGGCAGAACAGATAACTAGCCTGGAGCTAGAATAGTCTGACTCTTCACTCATTGTTCTAGGGGACTTTAACAGGGCAAATCTCACCCATGAACTGCCCAAATACAGACAGCACGTCACCTGTCCCACCAGGGACAAAAATCACACTGGACCACTACTACACAACAATAAAAGACACCTATCGCTCTGTGCAGCCCTCAGACTCTCAGATCACTATATGGTCCATCTTATTCCAACCTACAGGCAGAAACTAAAAGTTGCGAAGTCTGTAGTCAAAACAGTGAAGAGCTGGACTGAGGAGGCTAAGTCAGAAATACAGGCCTGCTTTATCTGCACAGACTGGAGTGTATTTGAGACTACAGACCTGGATGAACTCACTGACACTGTGACATCTTATATCAGCCTTTGTGAGGATGTGTGCATGCCTTCTGCACATACAACAACAACAAGCCCTGGTTTACAGCCAGACTCAAGCAGCTTTATTGTGCCAAAGAGGAGGCTTACAGGTGCGGGGACAGGACTCTGTACAGCCAGGCAAGGAACACAATGACAAAGGAGATCAAAGCAGTAAAGAGGAGCTACTCAGAAAAGCTGAAAGCTCAGGTTTCAGCCAATGACCCCTCATCTGTGTGGGGGAGCCTGAAAAGCAT